GAAGGAAGGAAGATAAGGAAGGAAGAAGGAAGGAAGATAAGGAAGGAAGAAGGAAGGAAGATAAGGAAGGAAGATGAGAAAGGAAGGAAGGAAGAAGGAAGGAAGATGAGAAAGGAAGGAAGGAAGAAGGAAGGAAGATAAGGAAGGAAGATGAGAAAGAGGAAGGAAGGAAGGAAGGAATAAGTACTTCCTCCTGTGGCTGAGGCCTGGCTGAGTTTCCAGACCTGACCTGAGGACAGGGTGAGCTTCTCATCTAGACCTTCGCATTAGCTCTTCTCCGGACCCATCCTGGGATGGGAGGAGGGGAGGAGATTTTCTCTGTACGCCTGCTCAAGGATGGCCAAGTAGCAAAAGTAATACTGCTCGGGGGTCTGGATGCTGAAGGCGCGCTGGGTCCTCATCCGCACCACCGTCTGGTAAATGTTGAGGGTACCCACATCTTGCAGTTGAGACAGACAAATATCTAGTGCGCAGAAAGTACCTGGAGGAAGGACAGGGGGAAAAGGGATGGATCATCCTCCGAAACAACCCCACGTCCTGCATCTCGCTTCCTTTTGAGTCTGCTTTTCGGTGAAAAGGTTGGGCTTTCAGGTCCCATAATCCCCAACCTGCAGGGCCTTGGGGGAAGTTGAAGGTTGATACATCTGGGGGTTATGTGCTGACTCTGGAGCCTCCTAAGCCTGGCAGAAGTGAGGCAGAGGAACAGCGGGAGCCTGTTCCCAGTGCGCACATGTGCAGAGCTGCCAGAGGGCAAGAACGGTTAAGACAAAGGGGGCGACTTGGGAGTAAGGCTTGGAGGTGATTGGCCCCTCTCATAAGACATAAAGGAGAAGCAAAGGGACAGGAGCCTTTGCAGGAAGCAACTTTGTTCCTACTGGTCGGTTTGAAACCTGAAGCTCCGTGTTGAATTTATGCTCCGTTTGGTCTTGTACAACTAATTGGAAATTTAGTCATTGGCAGCATTTCAAGGAAGATAAAGGTGAGTGCTTATCAGACTTATCCTGAAGGACTTTGGCAGACTTCCATGGGACTATTTACAAACTGTGTGAGGCTCATTACGGGCTGTGAATGACTAAAATTCACAGCCGTTGAAATAAAGTAAAAAGGGTTTTAGGACTAACGTGTGTTTGTTAGTGTCTCAATAAGCCTTGGCCAGAACAACTCCCAGTTTTACAAGTGGGAAGTCTTCTCCAATGTGGGCCACCAACAGAGGTGTGAACTTCAACTCCCAAGTTCCTAAGCTCTGGCTTGGCTACGTGGGGCACGCTGGGAGGCAGCAGAAGGTGGACCCATGGGAGGAAACTTCTGAAGTTCTTGGAAATCCAACCCTCTGCTCAAAACCCCAGGACGGGTAACGGGGTAATTCTGTTACCTGTCCTCCCGATACCGGCACTGCAGTGTACTACAATGGGTGGCCCGCCTGGATGACCTTTGTAGCGTGGTCCCAAGGCACTGACGGCCACTCTCTGCTGCTGCTTGACGGCTCCCAGAAAGTCGATGAGGGTCGCTGCCGAGGAAGGGACCCCGTAGTCGGGCCAGCTCACGTACTGGAAGTGGGTCACACGGCGTCTCTCACGGTTCTGTAAGTAATGGAAAAGGGGGGAGGGGTAGAGAGAGTGGATCCCACGTTTTAGATCACCACGTTCACACCAAGATTGCAAGGACGGTGTCAGGATTCTGGCAGTTACCCCCAATTAAATCACGAGTCTCGAGCCAAACTTCCAAAATTTCAAAAGGACTTATTGGGAGTTAACATGTCGGCACTACCTGGATGTAGCCGACTCTGAGACACATCATTCATTGTCTCTCTTGACCCTGGTTTTCCCCCACCCCTCTGGGTGTGTCATAAATTGTATTCTCCAATAGTCATCAGTCATGTTCTCCAGTTAGAATTTTAGCACGGCGGAAACTTCAGTCACCTAGTTACTATCTTTGAAAACATTTATGGAATGCACTTTCGATTTCCAAGCTGCCGCACTGCTCTTTCAAACCTCTTCCCCACCCCTCCCTTTCTGTTGGCAACTCTAAAAAGACCATAGAAATATTTTATGAGTTGACAGATGGGTTGCTGCTTAGGAGTTGATGACTCCTTCAGATCAACATTTCTCAACCTCCAAAAATTGAAGGCGAGCAGACTCATACAGTCGGCTTAAGAGACTGCATTGAAGAAACAACAAACTATTATCTAAATCAGGGCTCTCCAAACTTGGCAACTTTTAAGACATGTGGACTTCAACTCCCAGAATTTCCCAGCTGGCATGGCCGACTGTGGAATCTTGGGAGTTGAAATCCACCCATTTTCTTTCTTTTTTTTTTAATATTAAAATTGTGACATTTTTACTGCTTTTTCTGCAACTTTACTTTGGATTTATACTTAAGCCATTTCCAACATTTTTTTTTTTTGCTTTGCAAATTTTAAAAACACCCCCACTTAAATTCATGAGTAGTAATGAACACAGTTCTTTCCTCCTAGCAAAAATTGTACTGATCTGCTCCACCCCAAGGTAGTTGTGTAATTTCTATTGGCGGTGCCGGAAGTTTAATCGTTCAAGTTCACACCACCTTAGTGTTGAGTTCCCTCCACTGTTGAGCTGAGCTTACTACAAGTCCCAGCAGCCACAGCTAGTACGACCAAGGGATACTGGGAATTATCACCTCATAATGTTTCTCAAGGCTCGGCAACCTTGAAGGTTGAGAAGTTATGGACTGTTAGGGAGCCAACCGATGGAGAGAGAATGAGGGATTTTACAACCAGAAATCTGAAGACACCAGGAATGTTTCTGTTACAGAAACCAGTCGAGATAATCTTGTGTAGCCCAACTCTCCATCCAAGAAATTGCCAGTTAAAAAGGGTTGAAAGGAGGGTGATGATAGGTTGTGAGCAAGAACGGAATGGACCTGCTGGGAAAGGGAAGACCAGTATGATGACACCCCTTGGCCCTTTGATGAAGAGTTGGCGCAATCACCTCACAGCTGAACATCTCCAGAAGTGTCTTCTTGTAATGGCTGAGGTTCTCTGTTCCAAGGTTGGTAACCGTTAAGGTTCCATAGCCGATCTGAAAGTCCTTCTCCAGTGGCCAGTATTGGCCGCACTTCCGCTTGCCTCCTTCTTCAATCCTGTCATGGAAAGAATAAAAGGAATGTGTGCGCGTGCCAGGAAGGTGTCAGCTTGGAGCCCAGCGGAAGCGTGGAGACACATCTTTTGAAGGAGCCACAGCTGGCCCAGTTAGCGAAAGACATCAAGTCCAAAACCAGAAGAGTTTTGGTTTTGACTTGATGTTTCAAGTCAAGAGCATCTTCAGCAGAGCATCAGGGCAAATGGGCAAGCCACCCCCTCTGCTAAAACCCATCAAGGTCATGCTCATTTATTGTCTGATGCACAGATACGTTACCTTGTGGTCATTACGATCACCAGCACGTTCTGTTCCCACACCATCCTCCAGAAGTCATTGTATGTGTTTTCTAACGGCCCTACAGTGAAACAGGAAATATAAAGACACTGCTGAAAGGTACATACTACAGGTAGTCCTCGCTTACCAACTGCTTTGTTAAGTGGCCATTTGAAGTCATGATGGTGCAGAAGAAATAACCTTGACAAATGTCTGCATTTATGACCTTTGCAGCATCCCTCAATCATGCGATCATCATTATATTAATATAGGTTGTCCTGATCCTGGCCCATTATTTCTCTTGTGGCATGGAAATATTGGAGAGAAGGGGATTTCAAGAGAGTAAGAAAGCACTCAGTGGGAAAGCAGGCTCTTCTGGGTTTTATGTTTGAATTGAGGTGGAATTTTTGAAATGATGAAATATGAATATGCAATGAAATTGTAAACATGACAGATAAAAGTATAACTGTAATGAATATGAAGATATGAGAATTATTTAAAAATAGAAAAATAGGTTAAGAAATGTATGGAAAATTTATCAAATAAGCCTGAGGGAAGTATTTGAGAAAAAATAATAGAGAACACATAAAGTCATGGTAAGATATGAAATTAAATATGAAAGATGAATATGTAATTAAAGCTATGACTGTATGGAGATGTGAAAACCTGGAATCATGCTGTTCACTAAAAAAAGATTTTTTTTTCCCTTTTGTTTTAAATGTGGAAAATTGAAATAAAATATTATTTTAAAAAAAAGAGTAAGAAAGCACCCAGTGGAAAGCAGGCACTTCTGGGTTTTGACAAAATTGTGGATTATTGCTTCACTCAATGATCATCGCAAAAAAGGTCATAAAATTGGGTTAGTCATGTGACCAACCTGTTTTAGGCCATTATGGCAGACAATATAATGGGCAGGTTCCATTATAACCGTATGCCAAGGACTACCTATATTGCACAGGATTAAAATTTAGCAACTCAATCTGGTTGTTTCTAGTTGCTAAAAAGGATGACGGACCCTGGGTCTAATCTGATAAAAAGTGGGTTTTTCTGGAGCACCAGACACGCAAGGCACATCTGTTTGAGCAAGGCCAGAAAAGGGAGCTGTGATTTGACAGACTCCAGACTCTGAATCCAGATGTTGCCTCTTCTCTATGGTTTCTAAAGAACCAGGTGATGCTTTCAAGATCAGAGACCATAAATACCTTGAGTGCCGATATAAGCATTCCTTTGCTTGTAGCCATCCATGAAACTTGCATTGATGTAGTCGGTCATCTACGGAGACACAATCGTCTTTGTCAACCCTACAGAACTACATTCGGTGTTGGGCAAAGATAAACCTGGAAGTATTTTTAGTATTGCTTTCCAATCTTTAAAAAAAAAGATCAGATTTTACTCCCTACTCCTAAACAAAAGGCCCATGTAATCGGAGCTTTGTAGTCATAACTTGCTTCATCAATCTGATATTCTCTCTTGCAACCAATAGTATTTTTCCTACATTCTCGGGCAAAAAGAGAACTTAAGGTTGTTCCCACAACCTCTTGCTTTCTATTTCTCAAAACAGAACAAGACCAAAGGCAAGAAAACATTGGAACGGAACTATACATTTTATCTGGCACAACCCCATGTTCTGTAATTGAACTTTAAAAACATGAAGAGCGTACCCCCATTCTACTGGACTTCACAAATTACTTCCGCAGGAAAATATATGTCATATATGGCAACTTCCTTGCATGTTTAAAATGGATGTCTCCCTTAGCACGGGGATGAACAGTGGGGCAGAATTTGTGATTTGGGAGTTCGATTCCCTGAAATGCCATCAGCCTCACTTACCTCCTGATAGTTGAACTGTTTGGACAACTTCACCCTGGTTTGATCAAGGCAGGGGACATCCCCATATCGGTTTTTCTCCTGGTTCAAAGGTGCCCTGGAAAGCGGGGAAAGAAAAAGGCAGAAACATGAAAAAGGAAAGCACCAGGAATGTCTCCCAGCAGGCAAAGAAGCAAACAATTCTTTAGATTTTCTTTTAAAAAGAGCAACAAGAATTGGGTTCGTATCATAAGCAAAAGGTTAGGAAGTCCACCCATCTTCAACTTCCCATGGTGGACTCAAAATAAGTGGAGAACAAAGGAACTCCACGGGATGGGGGACAGCTCCTCCTTCCTCCAAATTTGGTTCTTCCTAGATGGACCTTCAGATGGGTTCCCTCATGCCCTCCAGGAGTGGCAGGAATTGGGGTATGCCTAGTCTGACGAAAAGAAAGACTAGGGGTGACTGGATAGCAATATTCTGATAATGTCAAGGGTTGCCACAAACAAGACAAAGGTCAACGTATTTTCCAAAGCACCAGAAGGCAGGACAAGAAGCAACGGATGGAAACTGATCAAGGATAAAAGCAACCTGGAATGAAGGAGAAATTTCCTTCCAGAATAGTTAACCGGTGGAACAGCTTGTCTCCAGAAGTTGTAGGCGCTTCATCACTGGAGGCTTTTAAGAAGAGACTGGACAACCATTTGTCTGATATGGTATAGGGCAAAGGTGGGATTCAGCCGGTTCTGACCATTCTGTAGAACCAGTAGCGGAAATTTTGAGTAGTTCGGAGAACCGGCCAATCCCACCCCCAACTGGCCCCGCCAACCCCATCTCTTCTCTGCCTCCCATTGAGTCCCAGCTGATCGGCTGGCTCTTCTTTGGTTGCTTTGCCCAGGAGAACGGAGCTGGAAAGCAGGTTAGTGGGGTGGGGAGGGAAGGGGGCAGAGGTGGTATTCAGCCGGTTCTGACCAGTTCTGTAGAACCAGCAGCGGAAATTTTGAGTAGTTTGGAGAACCGGCAAATGCCACCCCTGACTGGCCCCGCCAACCCCATCTATTTTCTTCCTCCCATTGAGTCCCAGCTGATCGGCTGGCTCTTCTTTGGTTGCTTTGCCCAGGAGAACGGAGCTGGAAAGCAGGTTAGTGGGGTGGGGAGGGAAGGGGGATTTTGCAGTATATCCTTCCCTTGCCACGCCCACCAAGCCACGCCCACAGAACCGGTAGTAAAACTTTATGAATCCCACCACTGGTATAGAATCTCCTGCTTGAGGAGGGGGTTGGACTAGTAGACCTCCAAGGTCCCTTCCAACTCTTGTTATTCTCCAACCCGAGACCCTCCCGCCACCTGGATGCTTACAGAGAACACCCAAAGGTGCCAGTGGGGCTCCGGTGCCGAATGCCTTCATACTCCTCATAAATCCCCCGCTTCTGCTTCTGGTTGACGTGCTCCAGGAGTTCCGGCAGAGTCATGGACTTGGGCCCTGGGACGTGCACGGAACCGTTGTCCCGAGGGGGAGCCAGAGGGACCAGGATCAGTTCATCCAGGGGGTCCGGGTGCCCGTTTTGCTGCGGGAGGAACCGGCAGTTCCAGCTGAGGGGGTCCAGCTTGAGGGACCCTCCCAGGTACTCGGGGAGGCATTCGTGGGGCAGGTGCTGCCTCAGCTCCGACATTTTCACCATCTGGACCTAAAAGTAGGAAAGGAGCGCATGGTGTGGCTGGGCAAAAACTTTTATGCCCTGCTTTTTAGGAAGGGAGGTTCCCCGTATCGAAAGTGCAATCCATTTAGGCTGGCTTGCCCTGAATTCCTGGTTGTTGTTTTTTTAAAAAAAATCCCGCTTTTATTACTTTAATTTAAGGTGGAGAAGACTCCATACTCTTTACTGGCTTTTGTGCCTAAGGCAGGACTAGAACTCACAGCCTCCTGGTTTCTGAGGCAAAAGAGCCACTAGAACTCACCGTCTCCTGGTGATTGGCCCAAAGTCACCCAGCTGGATTTCATGCCTAAGGCAGCACTAGAACTCACAGCCTCCTGGTTTCTAAGCCGGCATGTAAACCACTATACCAATCTGGCTCTCATTTGCCATTTTAGTTCCAGTTTCCCCAGTTCATAAGCATAGCACATTGTCTGTTTTTACCGCCTAAAATGGCCTAAATTTCTCAACTGGGCATGTGAACGTAGGGCTGGTTCATCCTTTTAGCATGCTGGTGCCACTCACCCTTTCTCGTAATTTCTCTTTAAGCAACAAGCTAATGATGGAATAAGGAACTCGAAACCACATCGGGGCTCCTACGATGAAGACCTTTTTCAGGCGCGCTGGAAAGGCTCCCTGTAAACCAAGGAGATATTTTTTAAAAATTAGTCTTTTTTTTTTTTAAATCAGCATTTTTAAAAAAAAAAAAAAAAAGGAAAACAAGACAAGGAAGCAAAGCCAGAAAAATAAAACACAGGGAATTTTCAAGCCTTGTAGGATTAGGCACGGTAGCACATTTTATATTTAGCATTACTGTAGAAATAATATATTGTTTTTAAAAACCACGGTTTGCTGTTAACATCCAGGCAAGAGGGCAAAGCAATAATCATCGCAGGATAAATCATAGAACGAGAAGCGGAATTGCAGGGAGATGATCCATTGTCATCAAATTCTACATCAAAGATTCTACACCAAAGATTCTAGACTACGGTATTAAGAATTACTGTCAAGAGAAACCCAAATTTTGAATGTGGAATAAGGGAGATTTGGTGCTTATTGGAAATCTGTATTAATCAATGGGTCGAGGTCAATTATTAGGGGCGAAGGGACTTCCTTTTGATATTCCTTGCATTTCTCTTCTCTTTCTTCTCTCCTTTAACTGTTCTTGTATCCTGCGTGTGTCATGCACAATTGGACTATGATGGTCTGTGCTGAATTACACAACTACAGCCCCCTCATTATCCTCGCTCCACACAGCCAAGCAACAATACCCTCAATAGCACCGCAATTATTTACCTGAGCAGGTAAGGAGCACCTGGCTAAACAGGGTTGGGTGAGAGGATAAGAGACCACCAGGAACAGAGTTTAACTCAAAAGGGGATTTTGCCTGCATGTCCTCCCTCTGGCCAGTAGGGGGAGACCCAAGTACATTGAAAAGAATAATAATTCAGAAAGTAAATTGAAAAGCAATTTAGAAGGATTTATTTGCTTTGAAGTAAATTTGAGGCCCATCTCAGCCAGTTGAACGCTAACAGACCGGAATGACAACAATCCCCTAATTTTTCCTACAACAAATCGAACTGGATTATTTTGTGCCATCAATCAACCATCCATGAATTTCTTTCTTTCTTTCTTTCTTTCTTTCTTTCTTTCTTTCTTTCTTTCTTTCTTTCTTTCTTTCTTTCTTTCTTTCTCCTTCCTTCCTTCCTTCCTTCCTTCCTTCCTTCCTTCCTTCCTTCCTTCCTTCCTTTCTTTCTTTCTTTCTTTCTTTCTTTCTTTCTTTCTTTTTCTTTCCTCCTTCCTTCCCTTTCCCCATTTGTTATTCTATTCTATTCTATTCTATTCTATTCTATTCTATTCTATTCTATTCTATTCCAGATTCTGTACTAATTTTCTAATTTTCTATTGTAATTATAATTTTTCTATTCTATATTTTATTCTATTCTAATTTTCTAATTCTCTATTCTAATTATTTTAATTATAATTCCCTATCCTATCCTCTTTTTTGTAACCTCCCCTAACATAGGAACATTCTATGTGCAATTTTGGGATACTGAGTATATTTATTCATATCCTGCCTTTATCATTTTTACAAATCACTCAACGCAGTGAACATATCCAACACACACTTTCCTCCTCCTCCTCTTTTCCTCAAAATAACAACCCTGTGAGGTGGATTGGGCTGAGAGAGAAAGGGACTGGCCCAAAATCACCCAGCCAGCTTTCATGGCGGATGAAGGACTTGAACTCATGTTTTCCAGCCTGACTCCTTAATCACTAGACCAGAGGACTCCAACCTTGGCCACTTTAAGCATGGAGGACTTGGGAGCTGAAGTCTTCCAGGATTAAAGTGGCCAAGGTTAGAGACCCCTAAGGTAGATTAGCTCTATTAAGTGCTACTCTCGTAGCTTTCAATGGGATGTGGAAATCTAGGGCTTTTTTTTTGTTGTTGTTGCTCCCATGGAAATTAATCCTTTTCCCAACTCTAGCAGCCCCTTGTAAGGATCAAGAAAGAAGAACCGAGAACCACAAGGCTACAGGAAGTAAACTATTTATCTGTAACCGTCCATCTGGTTCCAAAATGCAGCTCTAAGTAAATTCTGGCTGAGAGTGGCATAAGAGAGGTTACTTTTCATGGCCCCCAAATAATAACATAGTGGGAATTTTGGCATTAAGCTGGAAAAAAAACTCTACTTGGAATACAGTGGAATGAATGCTGTTAGGACCGTACTACGGTACAGTGCTTAGTTGAGTTTCATGGCCACTAATAACAACATTGTGGAGTTCTTGGCATTCAGTTCAAAATGTATATTTCTTCTTCTTTATATCGGGACATGTATATTTCTTATATTTCTATAAGCGGGACAAAATAGCCATCACCGAATTGTGATTGTGGGGCTGAAAAATAACCTGGAGTGACAGAATGCCAAAATACAACCTATAATGGAGACTTTGCTGATTTTCTGGCTGTGAGAAATTCATGCCTGTAATCTAGATATACATTTATAATATTTTAGATGCGGTGTTTCATAATTTTTTGTTTTATCTCTCTTGTTTTTATCCAAATGGGATGTGCCATACGCTAAATAAATATTTATTTTTTATATCTTATTATTATAGCACTGCACACCAGAACAACTAGACACAACGGCAGTTTTTCCTCGAATGCCATCATTCTGCAAAACAAATAATTTCCTCAACACTGTCCAACTATTTATAAAGTCTGCACTACTATTACTGTTAATCTTCTCATCACTCCTTATCACCCATCTCCTCCCACTTGTGACTGTTATGACTGTAACTTTGTCGCTTGTATCCTTACGATTTTTATTGACTGTTTCCTAGTATGATTTGATTGCTAATTGTACCCTATGACTATCATTAAGTGTTGGACCTGATGACTCTTGGCGAATGTATCTTTTCTTTTTATGTATACTGACAGCATATGCACCAAGACACATTCCTTGTGTGTCTAATCACAGTTGGCCGATAAAGAATTCAAATTCTATTTCTATTTCATTTCTATTTCTATTTCATTTATATTCTATTCTATTCTATTCTATTCTATTCTATTCTGTTTTCTATTCTATTCTATTCTGTTCCATTCTCTATTCTATTCCATTCTGTTCTATTTTCTATTCTATTCTGTTCCATTTTCTATTCTATTCTATTTTCTATACTATACTATACTATACTATACTATACTATACTATACTATACTATACTATACTATACTA